CCCAGTGTTAGATATTTAATTTAATCTTAAGTATAAAATCTCAGTTCATTTTATCTTTAATATTTGTTTTTTTATCCTCAAGTGATCCCTTTAATGATTACACATGTTAAAATTTTTTATCAATTAACAGTTCCAATGTATGTGATTAATAATAACATTTTAGAATAATAATATTAATTTGTTATAAATAACTAATTTAACTAATTTTTAATATTTATAAATTAGTTATCTAACTCGATTATTAAGTGACAGACATAGTATTCAGTTTTGAGAATTTTGTCACATATTTGGAGGGAAAAAGTACATATTCCTTAGATATACACGAACAGGAAAAGAATATTCACGTCTTTGCTCAGCGTTTGGCCAAAACATATAGTACAATAATTAATCTTTGAAGACTTTGCTCAGCGTGATTAGCGCAAAATAACATGTCTGCGAAGGCACATTCAACTTTCTTCACTCCCCTCATTTTTCTAAAATGGGCGCCAACATCGTCACAAATTTTATGTTTTGATCCATTAATCAAAGATGTATAATGATATGCTTGAACTCAGATTTTCTCTTCGCAAATATTAATTCCTAATGTCTCTTTAACCGAGTCTTTCGATTTTTATTAATCCTTATTATTACAATTTAGACACCCTTATTCATTCGACATTGATTGGATTTCACATTATATTGTAATTTAAATTTATCCATAATGACGATGAGCTGCGTATAAATGTGAAGGTTATAATTGGAAGAAAAAACAAATATCAGTAGTTACTACTACTATTGTTTAGGCTCAATAATGTTCACATCTATAGGTTGGTAGTATCAATCCAAGAAAGTTGTATGAAAATATGATTGAAATTTTATGGACAAATAAAATATAAAGAGTCATCAGAAATAAAAGAATAGGTAAAAAAAGTGTGTGTGTGTGTGTGTGTTTTTTTTTTTTTTTGTGAAATATTACGGGATAAAAGTTATTCAGCATGATTCGAATATTTTAGTAGTTGGAGCTGCAACGGACTAAGGGCCTGTCTGGAATAATATTCAAAAATACTTATAAGCATATTTTAAGTAAGTTGAGATAAAACTCTTCTCATATATTTACATTATATTTAATAAATTATGATTAAAAAATTACTTATAAGTTATTCCAAACGGACTCTAAACCTCTTATCTCCTATGTCAAAGCAAGATATTTTTTTAAAGTTAGGAGATCAAATTAAAACCTTGTATAAAGTTAAAAGAATAAAAGCATACTTTGGAGAATAATTTTATATAAAATTAGTTTAGATATCAATTTATAAATTAAATAAATTAATTTAAAAATGAATAAATATAAGATATAAAATAAATTAAAATCTTGTATCAAAATCAGTTTCCTAAATAGCCACTACATTTAAAAGGAAAGAATATTTATTAAATGATTACACAAATCTACCAATCATTCACATAAACTTTATAAGGGTTAAATGCAAATTTGTTGAGGAGGTTTTTCCTTTTCTCAGGAGCCCTAGCTTTCAAAATTTCTTTTGGATCAAATATATTTAAAAAGTTTAAAATCATAATAATATTATTTTATAATATTAAAAAATTAATGTTGATAATTAAAATAGTAATATTAAATTTGAATATTTTTAACAACAAAAAATAATATTATGTACTTTAACTCAATTTACAACTAAAAAATATATTTAATATTATTTTTCATACAAATAATATGGTATAATCAGGGTGCCTCCTGGGCGGTCCTGCGCGAAACGGACACTTGATATTGATTACTGATAACCATGTGAACTGAAGTACTGAACAAGATGGCGACTTCTCCAGAGTTCAAATACACGTGGCGTAAAGCTAATGGAGCTGATCACGACTCTTAGCATGAGTGGACTCTTGCGTATTCACCTCCGCCTTCATGCCTTCATAGGCTTCCACGTCTTAAGTCTAAACCATGCCGTCCCTTCTCCTTCACCCCATGGATCCTTTTACCCCGTAAAGGTCCTGGACACCTCATTTATACGCCACACATTACTCCTGGCCGTCATATTGTCAGTGGCCGTAATCGGATGGAATTCTGAAGGAATTTTGATTTTGATTCCATAATTTTTTTAAAAAAAATTACAATCAAGTCCCTTTAAAAAAAAATAATTAAAAGGTTCTAATAACAATCTCAACAACCTATAATAACAAGTTTTTTAGTGAGAATACAACCTCTGAAACTTATTTTTTAATTATTTTTTTATTTGGGACCTCATTGTAATTTTCTTTTTTAAAAATTATTAGTTTGTGCTTTGCTTTTTTTACTTGAGCTCAAGTCCAAATCCTTTTTAAACTATAAGACCAAAATTAAAATTCCATCATTATAAAAATAAAAACGCGCCCTAATTAAAATAAGACAAAATATATAATTTAAGTACGTGATTTAAACTTAAGCAGACTATACCTCTTACTATTAATATAAGAGCTTGATTGACTTTTAATTTAGTCCTAAATATAATACCATAATCTACTTTATCTTTCATATTTTCTATTTTTTTCAAAATAGCCTTTGTAGTAGTTGCATATATTAAAAGTTTAATCAAATGATAGTTCTAGCCAATACACATGATTAGTAATGATATTCTAAAAAATAATATATATTTATTACAAATAACTAACTAACTAATTTTTTTAATCTTTTCAAATTAATCAATTAGATCATATGCTGAGGACCAAAGGTAGTAATATTTTATATTTTGAATTACATGTTGATAACTTAAAATTTTCACTATCATAATACTACGAATACTAATATCAAGATCAATGTCAAAATCATCAACATCAAATATTAATATTACTTAATAGCAGATTACGCGATTCACAAATTATCAATAACAAGTACTGTATCATTTTTCCATAATTCATTCATATCATACAAAAACTCGTTTAATTATATATAAATTTTCCGCACATATATAAAATTGTAGGAGAGTGGGAGATTTTTTTTCTTTAGACAAATTTCTTGGCGTTAGTCTTGTTTGATTGCAAACATCATGAACTATGTTTATTATGTCTTTTCACCGAAAAAAATACAGGGAGATTTGTTATGGAGTATCAAGAAATGAACAAAATTCCTTAAAAATTTTTATTAATAACAATAATAAATTTTAAATTTAAAAATAATAAGTGACAATTGTTTACTTGTTATTGAATCTTATTAGTAATTATATTCTTTATTTAGGACTTTATTATAATTCTCTCAAAAATATACTCTGTTTATCCTAAATTTGTAATTTTTTCTTAAATTATTTTTATTGATAGCATATATTAAATAAGTTTTTTATCAATAAAAAATATCTAATACAAATGATTAAAATGATTGCTTCTTCAAGGAGCCAAACCCATACATTTTTATACAAATAATTAATTTAAATAATTTTTTTAATTTCTATAATTTATTTATCAAGCTCTTACATTTAATATGGGGTGAGAATTTATTACTGATAATTTTTCAAATAACATATATATCAGTACGATCTTTTTTCATAATATATCAAATCAGACATGCTATTTAAAATAGCAAGAATGCCACTCATAATAGAAGTTTGGAATCTAATATTGGAAGAAAAAAAGAAGAAGAAGTTTGGAATCTAATTTACCTAAATTTTTCTCACAAAAAAAATCAAACATATAATTTGAAATAATTAAATTTTCTTCAAACATTTCATACATACTAATTGCTGGCATATAATTTTAAGATGGAAAATAATTTTAAAAAAAAGACACTAAAATACCTTCAAAAATATTAAAGAATAAATTAGGGTAGGTAAATTTTAAAATCCCAAATTAGATCCCTTGTGATATTTTAGAATTTGAAAATATTATGAAATGATAACACTGTCCTTATTCTAAGTAACTATTTTTATATAGCTATTGATTACTTTAATTTAATTATTGACTATTTTTGTTTTCAAAGTTTTAATAACTACTTTTATATAGCTATTCACTATATAAGAGTAGTAAACAACAAAATAAAAAGTAGTAACTAAATTTCCAACATCACTTAATGTATTTTTTGAACTTTTGAAATAAAAATAGTCAATAGTAAAATTAGAGTAGTCAATAGTTAAACAAAAATAGTCACTAAAATTTGAAAAATAAAAATAGTCAATTGCAATACTAGAGTAGTCAGTTGTTAAACAAAAGTAGTTATCGGAGTTCTAAAAACAAATGTAATCAATAACTAAAAAAGAATAGTCGATATATCAGAAAGAGTAGTGACTGGAGCTTTGACGACCAATCAATGGAGTTTCGGTAACATCTCATCAGAGCTCTGGCGACTGGCTACCGATAGGGTCACCGGAGCTTGAGCTCTGACAGCCGGAAGTGCTAAGATGACAATATTTAAAAAAAGAAAAAAAAATGATAAAGCGCATTTATGTAATTTTATAAAATTTAAAAATTCCAAAATGGTCTAAAGGATCTAAATTGAAATTTTGAAATTCACCCATACTAATTTGTTATTTAGTAATTTTCAGGATATTTTATTGCTCCTCCGGTCCTTAATATAGGACCCAATTCTTGAGTTGGTTTTGGTCCTAAATATAAGACCCTTTTCTCATATTTATCAATTTTCTCTAAATTACCCATGAGTACTCTCTTAACCATAATCAAGTAAAAGAGGGAGATGAAGTATTAAGAAAGATGATTATGATATTTTAGGAAAATGTGTTACTTTTCTTATAATTAACTAACTTACCTAACTTTCTTAATCTAATCAAATTAGTTAAATGGGTCTTATATTAAGGACCAGAGGAGTATTATTTTTCTAATAATAAAAGCCTTCTTTATGTGCTGGGACCAACCATGACTGACTCAAGCATTTATAAGCATTTAATTATAATTATAAATATTAAGACAAAAAATAAGATCCACGTAAGAACTTAAAGCAATTAAAATTTAGTATCATACGTTTATCGCATATAGAAAAAAGCTGTAAGTGTAACTGTCGAATTATTATGCGAGAGAAAACATCGTCTTTCCATTCGTTTTCTTCCGAGTCCCATGGAATCTTTTCCCGTTCTCTCTTGGGGGGCGCGTTTTCAACCTGAAGCTATGTGTGCTCGTGCTTAGCTCGACAAGGTTGGTCAATTTTCTCTCTCTTGATTTAATTCGCGTGTGTGCTTGATTTTAGTATCTGCATAGTCAGTGTATCCTCAATTTTGCTATTGAAACTTCGACATTAGCTGTGAAGCCACTTTGGGTTGATGCTGAACATAGTTGTTCTGATCCCCAGAATAAAAGGATTTACTAGGGTTCTTCGTGGTGTTTAATTTTGTTGAATCAATTATTCGGTTTTTGGAGAGTTCATGTTCGTATCTTCCAAGTTCCACGCATGAGTTGGGTCGCTGCTTGGAACTACTGCAGTGGCGGAGGGTTAGTCCAGTAGTGAGCAGGGGTCCTCAATCTTGAACCCCTAAATGTGGTTTAAGATTACTCTTCTGTTATACTGAGTTGTTCCCCGTGTTTTCTTTGAGAAGTGGTGTGTTTCTGATGGAAAGATTTGCTGACTTTCTTTGCTTGTGAGAGATAACATCCAAAACCATATTACATTACTATTTCTGTGATTTAACCCAGTTCATCATTGTACAACATCACTTCTGCGTTGGCAAATCAGCTGCTGAATTACGCTCATCATTTTATTCCTATTTCTTAATTTATACTGTATTTCCTGAACAATTGTTGAACCCAGTGCCATTCTCCTTTTGCTTTTCAGATTTTCGAGGGAAAACGTTCTGTTGAAATTCAACTACACTTCTGAAGCTCCTCAACTTATCATACTTGCAGCAAATTCTCTCAGTTAGATGTGCCTTGGTGATCGTATCTCTGTCTCTGTGATCAATAAGGTTATATCGTTACTTGTACTTTGCTCCTTCATGCTTGACGCAAGTGTACCACAGATTTGGACACCATTTTTTTGCTTTCCCCTGATGCATGACTGGCCCACAAGTCTTTTAAGTGTGCCTGTTTTGTTAATACACGATTTAAGTGGAGACGGTTGAAATGTCTTTCTGTATATAGCTACACTCTGTAGTTATATTATTCTTTCATCTTACTACTGTGCGGTCTGGCATGGAGAACAGATCAAGTGTTTTAATGGGAAGGTATGAATTAGGAAGATTGCTAGGGCAAGGTACTTTTGCAAAAGTGTACTATGCGCGAAGCACATCAACTAATCAGAGTGTGGCTATTAAGGTAATTGACAAAGATAAGGTTATGAAATCTGGGGAAGCCGAACGCATCAAGCGTGAAATATCTATCATGAGGAAGGTTAAACATCCCTATATTATACAGCTTCTTGAGGTTATGGCCACCAAGAGCAAGATTTACTTTGTTATGGAATATGCTAAAGGTGGTGAACTCTTCACAAAGTTAGCTAAAAAAGGAAAGCTCAAAGAGGATGTTGCACATAAATATTTCTGGCAGCTGATCAATGCAGTTGATTTTTGCCACAGCAGAGGCGTGTACCACCGAGATATTAAACCAGAGAACCTTTTGTTGGATGAAAATGGGGATCTGAAGGTTTCTGATTTTGGGTTAAGTGCTCTGGCGGAATCCAAGCGGGAAGATGGCCTGCTGCATACAACTTGTGGCACACCTGCATATGTTGCTCCTGAAGTCATTAAAAGGAAAGGGTATGATGGTGCCAAAGCTGATGTTTGGTCTTGTGGGGTAGTATTGTTCGTATTATTGGCAGGTTATCTCCCATTTCATGATCCAAATTTGGTAGAGATGTATAGGAAAATTGACAAGGCAGAATTTGAATGTCCTAATGGGTTCTCACCAGAAGTTCGCACACTTCTATGCAAGATGTTAAATCCAGATCCTGATGCTAGGATTTCCATGGAAAAGATTAGGGAGTGTGCTTGGTTTAAGAAAGGACCAAATTCTAAACATAAAAAACCTGTAGTGGGAAAGAAGGCTGTCTCTTCATCAGGTAAAAATCCTTCCACTCGAAGCGACGAAGCAGAAGCAAAGCAGGAGTCAGTCGTACCATCCAGTATAAATGCATTTGATATCATATCTCTTTCTGCTGGTTTTGATCTTTCTGTATTCTTTGAAGACGATTTTAAGAAGAGAGAAGCTAGATTTACCTCAAGACAACCTGCACCAGCTATCATCTCGAAGCTGGAAGAGGCTGCTAAGCTTCTGAAGATGAAAATAAAGAAGAAAGCCGCAGGATTGTTAAAGCTAGAGGGCCTCAAGGAAGGCAGAAAGGGTATTTTGTCCATTGATGCAGAGATCTTTGAGGTCACTCCGTATTTCCATCTGGTGGAGGTGAAAAAATCAGATGGAGATACATTGGAATTTCAGAAAATACTGAAAGAAGGTATAAGGCCTGCTCTTCAGGATATTGTCTGGATTTGGCAAGGAGATGACCAATCACAGCAATCAGAGCAACAACTGCAGACGCATGAGCCGCAGCCACAGCAATAAGTGCAATAATATATTCTATTTTTCGTAGCTCATGATATGTCCACTTAATAACCATGTTGCTCGTTCATATTGTGCAATTGTGATCCTATATTTTAGCTCGTCTTGTATGTTCAGGGTGCTGTAATTTTAAAAAAAAAAAATTCTGTATATATAATATTATATAGTGTCTCCATATAATTTGAAAACCATAGAAAGTATTCATAAACCATGAATAGTGCCGCCCATACGAAGCTGAGAATTTAGATTCTTCAATATTAAAACACTTAAATTGGCCTTAACCGAAAGAAAAGGAGGGCATATCCTCTATTTCAAAAAGTTTGATTTCAACCTCTCATCTTTAAAATGAAAAAACAGCTTAATTTTAACCTCTGCAATCTCTTGAAAGTTTTTCTCAAATCGATAATTTTCAGAAATAAATCATCCAAATATGCAAGCTGAAAATTTACCAGTTACTGCTGCATATTTCTTCATAAAACTCCACATAATGTGAACTGGTTAGTTATAGGCGAGAATTAGACACTATCTCCAATTCTTAATATAAGAACTAGTTTAATATTCAATTTGGTCTTAAATATAAGATTTCAATTCACATTATCTCTTATATTGATCTTTCTTTTTTCTGAAAGTAGTCCTTATAGTAGCTACACATGTTAAGTTTCATCAAATAGTAATTCTATCTAATACATATGATTAGCAAGGATATTTTAAGAAAGACAACACATATTTATTATAAATAATTAACTTAACTAATTTTCTTAATCTACTCAAATTAGTCAACTATTTCTTATGTTAAGAACATATTGGGCATATTTGAAATACGTTCCTTATTATAAGAGACATTTGATGCTTATACCATGTTCCTAAATATAAGAGACACTTAAAAGTTGTCTCTACTTTTTTGTGTTGATTTCCTATTTTACCCATATTTATTGTCTCCAACTCACACTCTCTCTACTTCTTTATTTAAGAATTTACTATTGTTCTCTCTCATACTCTCTCCTTATTAATGAGGGCATTTTTGGAAAAAATATACTTTTACACATTAATTGTTCTTAACTAATTTTAACTGTTTTTTTGATCAACGTAATTCGGTTATTCGTCTCTTATAATAAGGAACGGAGAGTAATTTATAAGTTCTGATTTATGAAATATGAGGTAAATATGTGAGATAAATTTTGTTTCGGTTTACGTAAAATGTACTTATAAGTGTTTTTCATCGCTATTCCAAACATGCCCATCGGCTTTTTTACCCGGATGCTATAAACAGTACAAAGAAAATACCGAAATGCTACACGGTGAAAAGTATTTCCCGAAATGTTATATTCAAAGTTGTTCTTGCCGTGAACAACTTCTAAAATCGATCTTGACAAATGCGACTTCTTCAATATGTGCTTCAAGTCTTGATTTAAGTGCAATGAAAGTTTACTTTGGAGTGAACAACTTTAGAAGTTCACTACTCCAAGAACAACTTCATCACCCCATATTCAACGTCCTCTGTCTGCTCTTTCCCCACCTAACACATGAAAATGATTAGATAATAATTTTGCAATCATTTGGACTAAAATTTATACGAAAATAATTAGAGGAAAGTGTTAATTACATAATAATACTAGTAATGATTATGAAATTCTTATGGCATATTAAATAGAAAATAATTAATAAAAAATAAAAATTGATTTACCTAACAAATAGTGACTTCCGGTGTCACATCTTGTTCTCCTTCTCACACGTGTGGTTGTTGTTGTGTGTTCACTTCTTCTTGAGCTTCAAGTGTCTCATTTATTTGCAATCATTTGGACTAAAATTTATGCGAAAATAATTAGAGGAAAGTGTTAATTACATAATAATACTAGTAATGATTATGAAATTCTTATGGCATATTAAATAGAAAATAATTAATAAAAAATAAAAATTGATTTACCTAACAAATAGTGACTTCCGGTGTCACATCTTGTTCTCCTTCTCACACGTGTGGTCGTTGTTGTGTGTTCACTTCTTCTTGAGCTTCAAGTGTCTCATTTATTTGTGTAGTTGATGTGTTTAAATCAAACCAAGGTGATTCAACTAAAGAAATTGATTGCTGAGGGGTGGCAAATGCTTCGTTTGATGGACCATCTTGGTCAAAAGTAGAAGAAGCATTGTATTTAGCCGAAAATAGTACCGGATCATCAAATAATGACATGAACGACTGAAATTGAGCAGGACATGGTGAGTTAGAATGCGATGATGTTAGTGAAGGTGACATGTAATGAGGCTCAACTTGAGGAGGATTATGAGAGGTGATAGGGGATGATGATGAAGCTAGCATATAATGTGACTGACTAAAAACTTGAGGCTCTTGTCCCTCAACATTTTGATTTTGAATTGGTGGCTGGCGCCGCGTTGCATGCTAGGTCTATCTTGAGGAATTTGTGGGCGAGGCAAATCAACTGTTGGCGGAACACGCTAAGGGTTCATGTCAAATCGTTGTTTTCTCATTGCGAGTAAGATGTTGCGTTAGTCCCAAGCATCTCTTTCTCGAAAATCAGTGCAGTTAGAGCATGTTGAACAAGAACCAATCGCTAACCTATATAACTCTTCTGCTGTGTTAGCCTGAAATAAATAAGACATTTTTTTATAACACAATAAATAATTAAATAAGACATTTTTGTGTAACACTTGTTGTATAAAAGAAAAAGATGGTATTGGTGGAAAAAAAGTGAAAAACTTACCACATAGCCAGTATTACCACTAATACATTAGATCTATCGTCTTGTATGTCTCTAATACTATTGCATGTATTCAGATATTTGATCAAATTCATCAAGCATAACAGGAGTGTGAACAATAGCATGTGGCCATCTATCCCATGCTTGAATGAAGTTTGAGTATTGTTGAGTCTAATTTATAGTTGTCCTATCATGTAGTTGTATTATATAATAATTTCCCAAATGAACATGTAAAGGCACACTGGAGCACTTTTTGAATAAGGACAAAACTGAAATCATTCACGCGGTGAACGACTTTCAATTTTTGTAATTAAAAAATGTCATATCCCCAAAGTCGTTCTTGGTGTGAACGACTTCTTCAGAGATTTAAAGTCGTTCTCACCGTGAACGACTTCCAGTGTAGCATTTCAAGAAATACTTTTCACCGTATAGCATTTCAGTAATATTTTGTACTATTTATAGCATCCGGGTAAAAAAGCCCATGGCCATCATAAACCTAGATGTCACATGGAAGTTGCTCCTAGCATTTATTATGCGGGTCATCAAATATCTAAAATATCGTGGCCAATCTTATTGTTGTCCAAGAACAGAAAGATACCTGCTCCACAAAATTATAAGACTACTTTTGAGTGGCTTAGGTGGGACTTCTTCACTAGCGTTTGTTCATGTTCATTTCCCTGCAAATTATGGCGACCCAGCTTACCATTGGCCCCAATTAACCATGTTCCTTTGAAATTTTATGCTTTGTATGCAAATAACACCCTCCGCTACTATTTGGACCAAAAAAAAAAAAAAAACACCCTCCGCTACTAATTGTAGAGTTAGTTGCCTAGTGAATCGTTGTCACGTATAACATCAATTTTTGAAGCACCATGACGAAACAGAATTACAAAATATGTGCTGATATGAAACTCATCGTCAACAGTGAGAGGGCTAGCAACGCAAGATCAAAAGGTATAACTTATTTTACAAAAAGCATAAGGAAATTGGAAAGGCAAAGGAACATTCTTCGATGATTTTCCACATATACTGTGAAAAGACAAATATTACAGTGTAGCTAATGCTTTCTGCTTATGTTTTCTGTCTGATCTAATATGAACAGGGAATAATAATTGTACAACTCGGTCAACACATGTAGATTTCTCGCCACCCTGGTGAGATTCTTATTGCCCAAGACCTCATAATTGAATGAAGCCGGGGGACTTTGTTAAGTCAATAAAATCATTACCAACACGAGAAATCCTCTTCTCGCTAGCTGAAAAGCTGCGGCAAGCGGATGGAGTAGACAAATCTATTATCTCAGCTTCACTAGGCACGTTAAAGGCACATCTGGAGTCTTTACTCTTATTAGCAGCTGATATCGTACCTGATTGTATGCAATCTGCTTGACTCATTTCAGCACTACTCTTATTCATGAAATTTGTAAAATCTTTTACTTCAATTACCTCTTCCCTTGTTGATAAAATTACTGGTGGTGATTTCTTAACCTCTGATATGATAGAACCAAATGGCTGGCTTTTGTCTAATGAAGCAAATGAATGACAAGGTTCTCTTGCTTCAGATTCTTCATCTTGCGGTGAAAGATGAGTGAGACAACCATTAATTGTGTCTGGAATAGAATCACTATTACTTGTAATGACACTGCATTCCTCTTCACTGGTGTCACCACCTTCACCGGTGTCATCATCTTCATTCTCAGACAAACCTTTAATTCTTTCTGTATAACACGGAAGTTCATCCATGGGGCGAATATGAACCTTCATGTGCTCTGGTAAACTCGGACAACCAGCAGAATGTTTTGTGTACTTCGTTGAAAAGAAGTTTACTGTCATATTCAAGCTGTGACCAACCATATCATGCGTTAGAATCGAAACAAAAATTGTGACAAAAAAGTGCATTCATATTCCTGCACTCAGAAAGAAGGCACACCTCTGCCAGGATGGAAGCGTGAGCATTGTGTACGCAAGTTTAACCTTGTTGGCAATTCCTGAAAGGGATTTAAAGGTAGCAGCTGCCTTCCTTACAGCCAGTGATTCCACGGGATGCTGCCAAGCCCATTCAAACTGCAAGTCCCAGACAATAAAACAACTTTAAAACATTGACTCGGACATCGGCATTCTTAGTATAATTCTCATGATCACATCATGCCAGGCTCTTCTGAGCCAAGCAAAGACAAGAGTCATATTATGCCACTATCAGATGCGCAAGACGAAAAATTGAAGGCAGGGGAGTCAGTAATTTTAGAATATGGCCAATTTTCAAGTAAAATGCATAAAAGCCCACATACTCAAGTGATAAAGCATAATCGAAAGTGATCAAAGCGTTAAAGACGAACGGCACTCTGAAAGAAAATAGGAGAGATAACTTGTTGCTTAAGTTTTAAGAATTTAGGAGCAAATTGAGCCAAGTAATTCAATTTGATAAAATTAAAAATGAGAAATCATCTTGTGAGACCAAAGATGAGACGAACCCTAGCATGTGCGTGACTACAAGAGATTTGACAAAAGAAGCAATTAAAGAACAAAATATGGACCTGCAGCGCAGACACATTCGTTGGGAAACCATATATACACAAAACCATCTCCCAAGGCCTTTTCCTCTTTGTTCTCCAAGCTCCACACCCAATTTCACCATTGTGTTGCCTAATCCGACGTCGTGGATTCACTGTAAATCTGTAATTGCATGTAGATAGACGCGGTCAGATCTAAAAACCCATCATCAACCAAAATCGATATAAAGAAGACGTTGCGGCGAAGATCAAAGAAAATCGTATGTGCCTATCATTTCAATTGATAAAAATATGAAAACTTCAATAATTGCGAACATGTATGAATCAGAGGAGATCAGATACATCTGATCTTGGAGATTGGATCAGAAACAAAAAGAGAAGAGGTGAGAAGTAAGTTCAATGAGAGGGTGGGACCGACCCGATGTAGGTATGGCCTTTGAAGCGAGGATTGAGAGAGACCAAGAGGTAACAAGCGAAGAAGCCTTTGGCCTCATCAGAAACCGTGTTCTGTTCTTCGATCGCTGCTGCTTGTGAGCGAGGGTTGAGAGGTTTTGAGGATTCTGATCTTGCCTTTCGTTTCCGCATCTCGCCGCTGCCGAATGAAAATTTGACCGTTGCGGCTTCTGACTCGCACTTACCTGAGAGCGTGACTGTTGTGGAGAACTGGAGATATCGGTTTCGGGTTTCAGACTTTTAGGCATAAATTATAATTGCCGGGTGATGTAGCCGTTACATGCATGACCGGTTTTTTTTTTTTTTTTAATCTAAGAGATAGTTTTTTTCCCCCCCTTCAGATAACATAAAAGGATAATCAGTCGTGTTTAAAAAAGAAAAGAAAAGAAAAGAAAAGAAAAGGGTTCAGCAGTTTTTTTTTTTTTTTGGTTTCAATCGATGGGCAGTTTTAAAGTTTTGACATGAAATCTAATCTATACTGAAATTCTTTGAAACTTGAACAATAAGAGGACCTCTTAAATTTTCAGCATCTTGTCATTAAGAGATAAAATTATAGTTTTGTAAGGAATTAGAGTGGGTCTTTTTAGCCCATGTCCAAAGCAATTAAAACTAAAATTAACAATTTGACCCTGAAAACCCAGCGTATTACCAAAGTGGTGTGTTACTTCTTTTCACCGCATTGGTAGTCTTCATAACATTGAAACTTTCTAACATGAAATCATTCTTCTGGTTTGATCACAACAAAAGTATCTATTTTACATTCCTCGATGCAAGGGAGATTTGGCAAAGGGACGCTTCGGCTCCAACAACCCTACTCGTCCTTGAGTAAGTTGTTATCATCTGATTACTAATTTATTAATTGTTAAATTTCACAAAGTGAAACTCTATTTTCGACTCACTAACATTTGATTTCTGACTTCTGGATTCGAATATCGCGGTTTTGCTCAGGGTGGGGGTCTTTGACGTACTTTCTCTGGGCACCATAGGCTCGATCTTTCCCCAAACAAAAATTATGGCGGCTTAGTACGAGAGAGAGAGAGAGAGAGAGAGAGAGAGAGAGAGAGAGAGAGAGAGAATCAATAAGGAGAGGAAGGCATCCGGTCCAGAGTTACGGGTGGCTGGCTATGAAGCAAAAATTGAGAAAGAATTCATGAATAATGGGATAACCCTCGTCTGAGTATAAAATTAGTTATCTAGTTTTATCACTATATTAAATGAGCAGTGTTGTGATAGAACTTTAAATTAAAATCACCTTAATTGCTTGCCTTTTCTGTTGTACTAGCGCCACTTGCAAATAAACGAAAATAATTAAACATGTTTATGCAATATAATAATAAAGAGATTACTTCAATTATAACTAAACCCAATCTCAAAAAGGATTCCGATAATTGACTTTAAACAAAATAATGACAATAGTTTAGACAAGCCAGATCTATGATAGTGTCAAAAACAAGTTAGATCTATGACCTACCATTTTTTTTTTTTTTTTTGGTACAAGACCTACCAAATTGTAGCAAAATAACGATCATAATGATAATTAGATCTTGGGGCCATAGTATTTCCTGGGGCCCAAGGTTGCACACACTATTTACACGCATTTCTGTGGACAGCAGTTTGACTAGTTTCCAATAGGTCATGTATATAAATTTGACCATTAAATTTGGGGGGAAACAATAATTTGGACCAGCATATATTCCACCAAAACAAATCTAGACCAATGCATCAGCTTGACCTGGCACAAGCATAACCCTACCAGTGAAGAGTGAAAAGGAGCTCAAATGGACGTTTACAACTTGAGAAAACGAATTCTCTATCTGGGACGTCCAACTGATGCTTCAGATCAAAAGCATCTGGATCAGCAAGAGGCCATTTTCTGCAAATTAATATGAAAGCTAAACTGAATGAAATTTAGTGTAAATCAGGCAGAAGTGAAAGATTATTAGCCTTCTCTGTTTTCTTTGTCAAGAAACTTGTCAAATTCATTATGAGGAAAGGTTGAGGAAGAAAACACCACCTCGCTCTAGAGTTTGGCAACTCGTGCTATCTTTGAGAGAACTGTTCTTAAAGTTCGAATGCCTGCTCCAGATTTTGAACTTGCCATCATCTGCAATAAGCACAATGCAAATTGTATAGCTTGCTTGCAAGAATAATGTGGTAAGAACTAAGTTTTGAAGAAATCTGACAAAAGAACCAGTTTACCGTAGGCTGAACTACAGACTTGTTCTCCTTGAGGCTCTGTGAAGGTGAACAGTTCACAGAAGTGTGTTAGTCTCCACAAAAGAAAATCAAGATGAAGATCAATTTGGATGGCAAAAATTCACCTCTTCAATTTGCATGGCTCGACGTGCCACATCAATTGGGAATACCATATCTGTTTTAGTTAGTACAATCTGGTATTTAGTTTGGTATCTGCAAATTGATAACAAGCATCATGAAGTATATGCAATGCTGCCTCAAGATTTTTTTTAAGTTCACATACAGCAGAACAAGAGAGAATGCAAGTGGTTCCTTGACTATGTACCTTTCCATCAAGTCAATGAGTTCATGATCCCTTGGCTTCATACCCCATTTTGTATCAATTAATAGGCATACTCGTTTAAGGCCAACTCTCGTGGAAACATACTCCTTCACCTACCATTTAGAAGTTTTCCAAGGGAAACGATTGGTCAGGTTTTATCATGACAAATCAATAAACTAAACTCCATACACGTGAACAACAAAATATAGGAAAATTCCAACAGCACAAATATAAATATGATCTCATATCATCATATTTCCAAGCATGGAACATGCAAAAGCATGCCACCAGAAGAATGTGTTTAGTGGACGAGAAATTAACATGTTTATTTTGAAATAAACAGCCTTAAAACGAAATATAGGTGATCCGCTTTTCTTTATTCTTTTTGTCTCCTTAATTCTCCCAGTAGCTCCAGAAGTGAATGCTTCTCAGAATGCTGAATCTTCCTCACCAAACGATAAGTAAGTTCTGTGAGCGTAATGATTTAATCCAGAAATTACTACGATACATAAAGGCTTGAAGCATCAAAATACTGGCACCGTCAAGTAGAGTGATGGTTGGCTAAATCAAATTTTGGGAAACATTTAGACAACCAATAGATTGAATTCAAGTTGCAAACTTACAAGCTCTTCCCATGCTTCTTTCACTTCTTCTTTCGCATATGCAAATCCATATCCTGGCAAATCCACTAAGCAAAGCTTCGTTCCTAGCTTAAAGAAATTAATGGTCTAGAGAGAATTCATCAGTTACAAAAGGAATTGCATATTAAAGAGTAAAACATTTAATCCTTGAAGTTTTCAAATCTACCAACTTCAAAATAATCTAGGATACCTGAGTAAGGCCAGGCTTGTCTGATGTCCTTACAACCCCCCATTGTCTAGTGAGTGCATTAAGAAGAGAGGACTTCCAACATTTGACCTTCCTGACAATCAGAATCACGTGGATATCATTTCACTCGTGTCTCTTGGAACATAAATTAGAAGATATAAACCAGTCCTCAGACTTTTCACGGTTTGATCATCAAGACTAGTGGGCTACAAATTTTCATAACTTAAGACGTTTCTTCTACGAATTGGAATGTATAATTTCCCATCAGGTTTTGGATTTTATGTAATGTGACACAAATAAATGATAGTAAACTTCATAAAGTTAAAAAGGATACACAGAGCATTGCACCTAGGAAAATTGGAGGGAGACAACTAATGTTAGAAACTTAGAATGATGCTTGTGTGATGCAGACAGAAATTTCAACCATCAACATAATAATCCATTGTGTGAGAAATTGCTAAAAAAATCCACTTCTTCTCACATATGAGGAAGAACTGTATTCTCGTAAATAAAAATCCATGGTTACAAGCTATAACTAGAAGCAGTAATAAGCAAAAGTATTGGCAAATAATACCTTTGTGTCAGCACCAATGTGATGTAAGTCACATGCCAGGACGGTTTGCACTATGATATGGGCATGGCAAGGGAGAAAAAACCGAATACAAGTGCAAATATCATAAGTTGGTAGACCAAGTAAGCTACATTTGCTTAAATAATTGTGTCCTTTTAGTTTTCATTTAATTTCTGGCAGGTATTTAATAAACTGCGACTATCCTGTAGTCAAGCACTCAATCTGCCATGTCGAAGAATAGGCTTCAGGTTTGAAAGTTTTTCCTTCGTTTCAGCTGTTTGTGTTGTTAGGTATCACTCTTGAAGCCTGAATATTAGCGTGGGCCTAATATTTGGACAGCTAGGTCCACGGGTTTTAATATTTAGTGATATTTTGCAAAACTGCAATAAAAAGCAACCCTAGTCAACAGATATGATAAGGATGCCCCAGAACCCAAGGTTCATTGGTTTTTTGAAAAAAGAAATCCTTATCCAGTCTGAATTTTTTCCCCCCAATTAGATCCGTTCACTTCACTAGAACCCTTTATTAATCAAGAAACAACCCCAAACCTTTCTGCTAAGCATTTGTACTAACTAATGTCTCGATCTTCATTCATAGAATGTGATCAGGGCCCTAGAACCAACCCTTAAGTCATCTATAGATAAAGTCCCTGCGCCACAACAATGACAGACGCTGAGTCTTTTACTGCAACAACAACGATGATGGAAAAAACAGTTCTATCATAATTAGACCCACAGGTAAAATTATCCACGTTAACTGATAAATTAACAGCTATTTAGCATCTAAAGATAATCAAAATTGAAAATACCCAATCGTGAACAAATCAATGCATCGATGCCAAGTATAATAAAGTGAATCAAGAACAGAGAAATTATTACTAGATTCGAATTAAAGGTCGCTTGCAATCTTACCAGCGAATGCAATTTCAGGAAGATTTGGAGCTGGAAATGATGACGAGATCTTCGCAGCAGCAAAAAATTCCAATTTATTCCTAATACCTGTTTCAATCACAGAATGTCAATGTAAGCAGATGAGTTAAGGAACACGTTCCAAAATGATTTGCTTGTTCTAGAAGTAATCATTAGTTCCATAGTTCAATTAGAAATTGGATTATTTGTGGAATGCATTAGTTAGACACATACGCTGTCTTCTATTCTCTCTCTTTCTGAGCTGGTTGAGAAGGGGACATTATCTAAGGGTGCAGAAAGATCAATATTGTAGCCTGCTCTCTTTATCTCAATCATGCGCCTCCGCCCCAACAGCTGCAATAACCATAGCACAGGAAATAAGAACAATAA